TTCTCTATTTGGTAAGCATAGAAATTGTTCCAGAAATTTGAATTCATGAGAATTACTACTCATATTAGTGAAGTGAAGGTGCTCTGTTCATTTTCACGATTCAGGATGTCTTGTACTTTGTTGGTTTTACAAACACGTTTTCTTTTGTCATAGTTGTCAAGGAGCGGCGCCCTGTGGTGTGAGCATGGGACGCGCGCCTTCACGGCAGCGGGTTTGTCTTTGCTCTGCTCCAGGTTTTACTTTCCTGAGTTACCATACCAACATAACAGTGTTTCCTCCAACATACTGTTCTTCACAAATACAGATGTTCTCAACTATCCATTTGATTATAGGAAGGGGTAAACATAGCAAGAAGTTATAATCAACCCAGTGAACATTAAACCTTAGACTAGTTATTTTCAGGATGCTTACATTAGGTCCAGATTGGGAAAAATAATTTCTCCTGCATATTATTTTTTCCTCTAAATTAAAAAAATGGCATGTATTATTGTGCAAAGTAATGGGGTTTTGTCATGATGTTTTTAACACATGCATATTATGTGGTTTTTTTTTTTATCTTTTCTCGCCCATTTTTTTTTCTCTTTTCCTCTTCCCTCTGCCCAATGGTCTTCATCTTCTCCCAAATGGACTTTTTTTTTCCCCATATAGGGTTTCTCTGTGTAGCCCTGGCTCTCCTGGAACCTGCTCTGTAGACTAGGCTGGCATTGAACTCAGAGATACACCTGCCTTTGCCTTCCAAGTGCTGGGATTAAAGGTGTGCACCACCACACCTGGCTCCAAATAGACCTATAGTTTCATGTCTCTTTCTTGCTAAAGTGTAGAGTCTGTATATGCTAAAACATACAAACTGTTGACTTGTGGAGTTCAAAACCACTTTGGTCTATAAAGTGAGTTCCAGGACAGCCAGTGCCATGCAGAGAGGCCCTGTCTTCAAAAACAAACAAACAAAAACCCAAAAATCAAAAGCAATTTAAGGAAGGAAGCCAGTGTTTTGAGTCAAGATGTAGGAAGGCCTATAGTCCCTCATGGGAGGGAAAGCGTGGTGAGAAGAGAAGCTTAGCTGTGCGAATCAACGAGACAACTGGTTGACCATATTCCCTCTACAGTCAGATTGGGGCTCGTTTCGTGTCTCCCATACTCCACCCCTCTATTCAGTCCCGAATCCCAGTGCTCGAAATGGTGCCACCCATATTGAGAGTGGGTCTCCCTGAAAACACCCTTCATAGACCACGAGGTGTGTTTCTATGGTGATGTATACACTCAAACTAATGACGATTCATCATCACCCTGTGCCGGAGGATAGGAACTCATCTGTTTACTTCTGGCCCCAAACTCCTCTTACACCATCCACTATCAATATAAAAGAGCCTTCAAGATCTAATGGCCTGGTGGGTATCTTGCCTCCCTCTAGCTGGCCCCCTTACTCTGTCACCTGGCTTGTTTCAGGAGGCTCTTGCCTGTCTCCTGATTCTGCACTGGCCCTGAACAATGCCTTCATCTCCCAGACTGCCTTTCAAACCTGATCTTCCTCTTGCTTCAAGAATTCTGTTATACAGACAGAACAGGTTCCTTATACCAGTGACTCTGATGCCTACACACCCCTCCCTGCTTACCTTTCATGTAGGACCTACTGCTTGTCAGGAAGGGTCATCCTAGAACTGCTCCATGGAGTTTTCCAGGTGTCTTCAGGGTCCCAGAGCTGCCTGGAGACCTGCCATCTCTGGTGCTTCTTAATAACACTGTCTGGACTGTTAACAGTGACTACAGAGATGGCTGAGAAACCAGGAGTGGAGGCAAGAGAATTAAGACAGTCAAGGGTTCAAGGTCATCTTCCGTTACAAAGTAAGCTCTGTTTCAAACCCAAATGGCAGCGTGAGTCAATAGTGGTGGTGGATCCAAGAGATGCTTGCGAAGGGGTAAACAGAGTATCTAAATCCTCAGGCCCAGAGACCTCTGACAGCCACCAGCTGGGGAAAAGAACTAGAAGCTGAGCAGAATGGAGAGTTCATACCAGTTTTGTCCTTTTCCATGCTGGTGTGTTTACCTAGAACCAACTACCAACTTCACATTGCCAAAGAATAGGCTGCTGCCCTGTCTTTAAATTCATATGAACAGTGTCTTCGAGCTTTCTCCACTTCATAAGTGAACGTAGAAGTAGAATGGGGGAGCATCCTAGCGTTTAGCTAAAATATTTTGGGTCAACATCCTTGTCTCATGACCCCATTGTTGGTATGAAGCAGGTCACTAAGTGAGTGGGCAGAAGACAGGCCCCCTCATGCTTTCAGAAGCATGTGACTTCCGCTGGTTAGAATTGCTACCCTAGAAGGGCTGGTTGTGAGGAGCTGCAGGGCACGAGGAGGGCAGGAGGTCAGAGTTAGGTGTAGCTCCTGGTTCCCATGGGTGCGGTAACAGACTTAAAGGTGGTGTTTTGTGGATAGTATTTTTAGTGCAGAGTCTCTAGGGTCATCCTGTAACTTGTCTACGTGAAGAAAAATCTGTGAAGATCAGACTTAAAGACTCTTAGGATAGGTAGTACCTTGGATAAAGAATTCCTGTGAGTATCCATTTAGGTGATGTGCAGAAGAACGTCCCTTTGGGAAATTTGAAGATTTGGGGAGGCACCGTTACAAGTCTGGGGTTGTGCATGGCAGAGGATTGCATGCCCCCCCCCCAGTTATTTATTTATGTGTCCTTGACCATTCTCCAGTGTTCTGCTCTGGGTCTCGATTTCGATGTTAAGTCTGGTGTTTGAACTTGAGAATGTACAAGATCTTGAATTTCAACAACCTGTTTATCTGAGTGTGTTCAAATGTTTCCTTTGCTTCCACTTGATTCATTTTTTAATGCAGGTACCTTATAATTCTGCCAAAGGTAGACGGTGCTGGCAGGCCAGGAACACACAGGCTGCAAATGAACTTTAAAAAAAGAAAAGGAAAGAAAGAAGAGAGACAAAAAGAAAAGTAGAAAATGTTTTAAGTATGCAATGATGGAGTCACAGCTGGCTCCCTGATTTTGTTGCTTTTGTGAAGGAACGCATCCCCAACCTCAAAAAAAGGGAAAAGGAAAGAATAAGAGGGAAGGAGGGAGGGAGGGAAAGAGGAAAGAAGGAAGGAGGGAGATAGAGAGAGAGAGAGAGAAAGGAAAGAAAAGAAAAGAAACCACTTCACCTTTGAGCTGCAGAGATGGCTCATTGATTAAGAACACTTTCTGCTCTTGCAGAGGACCCAAGTTCAGATCCCAGCACCCACATCAGGCTGCTCAAAAACAACTATAACTCAAGCCTCGGGATTTGGTACCCTTTTGAGCCTCTGTAGATACCCACACACATTTGCATACTCACACACATGTCCACACACCCATATATAGAAACATGCATACACTATATACATAAATAATTTTTTGGACCTGGTGGTGAATGCCTTTAATCCCAGCATTGTGGAGGCATAAGTAAGTGGATCTCTGAATTAGAGGCCAGCCTAGCCTAAATAGCAAGTTCAGGCCAGCAAGGGCTGTATAGTGAGACTCTACCTCAAAAAAAAAAATTTTTTTTTTCAATTCAAAAGAAGAAAAGAGGGCTGGAGAGATGGCTCAGTGGTTAAGAGCACTGTCTGCTCTTCCAGAGGTCCTGAGTTCAATTCCCAGCAACCACATGGTGGCTCACAACCACCTGAAATGAGATTTGGGCCCTCTTCTGGTGCATGGGCATACATGGAGGGAGCATGGTGTATCCATAATAAAAATAAATAAAATCTTATTAAAAGAAAAAGAAGAAGAAGAAAAGAAGCCACATTGAACTTTGCTCTATAAAGGTGATTACATTTTCAGTGACTGGAGAGGTGAGGTTGTCGGCCCAAAGCTTAATTTGTCTTGGGCTATCTTTAACCCTCTTGCTAGCCATTTTTGCCCACTTCCGTTGTAGTTATCAGAATCTTTTTAAGGATATTAATTTAGCACACTTCTTGCTCCACCAACCAGCAGGCAAAAGTCAGGTCGTCTGAGACATAGAGTAGAAATGTCCTCGTTTTCTGTAATCGACCTATACAATGTTTCCACCAATATATTTCAAGTCTCTTGACTATCTTTGTTTTGTAACTATAAAATATCATGATACTGTTACTACATTGGAACATACCACTGGGGTAACATGAGTCTTTTCAGGGTATGGTCACTCATACTCGGCTCTGCAATAAATTATCTCTTATTTCCTTTGGAGTGAGAGTTGTGTTTGTTTGCTTTCACATATTGCTGTAAGGGTAGAAGTCTTTTTTATTTGTTGCTTTTTTTTTGGTGTTTTATTTTATTTTGAGACAGGGTTTCTCTTTACAGCCCTGGACTGTCCTGAAACTTGCTCTGTAGACCAGGCTGACCTTGGACTCATAGATATCTGCCTGCCTCTGCCCCTCAAGCAGTGGGTAGAAATCTTTTAATTAATTGTTTTTTTTTTATATGTGCATTGGTGTTTTGCCTGCATGCATGTCTGTGAAGGTGTCAGATCCTCTGGAACTGGAGTTACAAAAAGTTGTGAGCTGCCATGTGGGTATTGGGAATTGAACACAGGTCTGGGCAGCGTTCTTAACTGCTGAGTCATTTCTCCAACCATTTTTGTTACTTTGTCTCCCCCCCCCTCCCCGCCCCCAGCTGAGGACTGAACCCAGGGCCGTGTGCTTGTAAGGCACGTGCTCTACCACTGAACTAAATCTCCAACCCCGGATGAAGTCTTATAGCAATTAAGTGGGAATATTGTCATCTCGCAGGCCTTTTAAGTAGGATCTGTATTGTCAGATATGGCCAGCTGTCTCTGAGGTCACATCCCTCTGCAGCAGCCTCTCTACCCTCAATGCTGATGCTGTAATTCTCACAGCTACCGAGGCTTGTTTGTCAAGCACCCAACTATGATTCTGTGATTCTCAGTAATTAACCTGGCGTGATTCTGTAATTTTCACTGTGAGGTGTGATCGAGGACACTGAAACAGAAATTGTTTCTTGAGACCACAAGATTTAATGACAGTATGTTGTGGCCCGTCTCTAAGTTTCTTGGCCTGTCACTCTCTAATCAGGACAGCAAGGGAGTTTGATTACAAACCCAGCCTAGCTGTTCAACTATCCCTGCAGCATCAGGTACCCCAGAATCAGCTCTGAGAACCAGATTATGCAATGCGGAGTTGCTTTATCTCTAGGAATTAGCACTTCCTTCCTCAAATCTGAGTCAGCGTCACAGACATACTTACAGTAGGGAACCTGCCAGTATCTGAAACACTGCAGGAAACTGTGGCCCAATTAGCGCCTGGCCAAAACTTAACACCCCCACCACAGAAATGAGCAAGCTCCTCAGGCAACCAGATCCTAAACCACCAAGAACTTTGAATGACTCGTCCCTTCCTTCCCTCACATGCTCAGAGTCACACATCAACAAGACTTCTTCCTCCCAGTGCATCACCCTTCTTTCCCTCAAAGCCTTAAAATAGATCCATTGCTCTTTCTGAGTAGTCCCAAGTTATTTCCTTTCAGGTCCCACCATTCTGTTTGATGTTAAATCTTGTGTCTCTGTCACTAACCTGACAGAAAGGAGTATTTTCTAAGGAGATGCTCTAGCTTTAACGGTATTAAAACAGTGAACCCCAGCTAGGCAATGGTGACACAGGTCTTTAATCTCAGCACTCAGGAGGCGGGGCAGGTGAATCTCTGAGTTTAAGGCCAGCCTGTTGTCAGAAAAGCAAAACAGCAATAACAACAAGAGAAAACAGAAACCCAAGAAATTGAGATTTCTCCAGGAATCTCATGTTGGGAGAAGAAAAGCCTAGACAAGTCAGAGCTGGAGCTCTTCTCTCCAAAAATGCTTCCCTCCTCCAAAATAGAGATTGGAAACCTCATAGAAATGATGACATTTGAATAATGGATGGGATCATGCCTTGTCCTGGACTGCTTAATGTGTCTAGGTCCCCTAAACTTCCTTCTCAGTTTAGTAATCCCAAGATGTACTGATGGGGATCACTGAATCTTCTTGCTCCTCTTCCCAATGTAACCATATCGACCAATGTAACCATAGTTCTTTTTACTATTAATTTGTATGCTTTAACTGTCTCCACAAGATTGGATGGTTGAATCTGACTTCAGATAGACTGTGATCTCAGGTTTGGTGACAGCCACCAGGAGCAATCTGACTCAGTGTCCCTCTTGAATCTGACCCTCGTGTGTATCTGAGGGCCAGGCTGAATTGTCTAACACCTGCTGCCTCTCAAGACTGGCTATTTGGAGCCAGGTGATATTGAGCTTCTAGAAGACATCAAAAGTCATTGTTGAAGTATAGGACTTTTGCCAGTATGCTTGGCCTCTGTCTATAAATTACACTTTATGTCTTCAATAGTTGCGTTCCTTCACATATATGTTTTCTATGTTACTGACTGAATATGGGTAGGTAGAGAAATCTGCGTCATTTCAAATTCCTCTAGTGTGATGATATCAGTTTCTCTTATTCCAACAAGACCTGGTCTTTCTTTTGTCTTCTATGAAGGATTGAGTTGTTTCCATAGAGGCTGGAATTCCCTGAACACATCTGTAACCTCGTTGGAAGCAGAGGAAACAAGAATTTCCTGCTGAGCAAGTGCCCAGTCAGGAAAGCCAGGACAGGCTCTGCTTATGCCCTTTTCCCCTAGTGGAGCCTTTGTGGATCTAGCCGGGTAAACTGGGCTGTCGGAGCAGGCTTGTGCCTAGAATTCCTGACTGGAATCTCACTCGGGTAGGTGGGTGTGCTCCTCCCGTCACTTATGCTTTAAGGGGCGGGTGGTCTGTGTCTTGATGGCCAACCAGGCAAGTTGTTTCGGGATGCAAATCCAATGAGAAATCCAGACATTAAGAATATGGCCGCTACACATCACTGAGACATCCCTTTTGGTCCCTGCCGTATTTGGGATCTGGGTCCTTACGACTGTGGAGGGACTCTCCCGGTTTCTCCCATCGTTTTCGGCCTTCCTTCCACTGACAGTAGGAACCACAAGAGGATACTAGGACACCATGTCGCTGGAAATGGTTCGTGTGACCGGGTGTGTGGGAATAGGGTGCCGTTTTAGTCAGCGAATGAGTCTAATCTGGCTCCGATGAGCCTCGCAGCCGCGATCCTTCTGGGTGGAGCTTGGCCTGCAGCCAGAGCTACTGAACTGTCCCAGGCTGAGCGCTCGGTGCAGCGGGTTCATCTGTGCCCTCCTCCCACAGCAGCACCGAGTCCCTACCGACTGGCGGTCTCCGCAGAGGTTGGTGAAGATTAGGTACACGGGTTGGGAGAGCGTACACCAGAGGAGAAAAGAGGTGTGGTGACTCCCCTAGTCCTTTCACAAACATACAGGGACGTGTGTTTTTTTACACTGTCGCGATTTATTAAATAACATTAATGTTATCCTTGGCTGGGTTTTTCCAAGTAAGCCCAATTTTGCTGACTCGCAGACCCTGGGCAATCTTTTATTCCAACCTTAAGTCACTGATACTAAATCACCCAAAAATAAACCAAGGCGCAGCTTGCAGAATGGCTAAGTGTTAGAAAGGCTTGGGAGTCTAGGCATTGGGGGACAAAGAAAGGTCTGTTGGGGACTGAGTAAGTCTTATCAATCAGCCTGGCAGGAGAAACTGAGCTGAAACCGAGGACAAAGGCGGGGGACCTTGCCTGTGGTTATTTCCCGGCTCTTGACAGCTGACCATGTAATCACTATCCAGCCGCACTCTGGTCTTGGGGTGCTCCTTCAAAATAGGCTCAGGTGAGGGGACTGCACATAGTGTTGTTGCTAAGCAGGTGTGTCTGGTGTTGTTGATGAAATGTGGTAGGTTTTCAGGAGTTGTTTATTGATGTAGTGAGTTTGGGCCTCCTGGTGTGCTGGCAGATAGTAGTTGTTTGCCCTTTCTAGGGTCTTATGCTTAAAAGTCAAGTACGTCAGGTCAAAACTGTTGCTTAATAAAATGGAGCCATCCTAGGCTTGGCACAACCGAACGCTGATGTGCTTACAGCGTAAGTTAGCTCCGGGCAGTCTCCCTCTTCATTGTCCTATGTCTCAGCGTCTCAGGGGCTTCTGCTTTTCAGATTGCTCTAGTTTCATTCTGTTCCTGTAAAATACCCGACTGAAAGAAAGCAGCAGAGGGAAGGAAAGGGTTTGTTTGGCTTATCCTTCCAGGTTACAGTCCATCCTTGAAGGAATTTGGAGGAGAGACTCAAGCAAGAACTTGAAGCGGAAATCATGGAGGTATGCCGCCTGCTGTCTCAGTAATAAACACATGCTTACCGAGCTTTCGTATACTGCCCAGGACCAGCAGCCCTAGGAAGGTGCCTTTCCCAGTAGGCTGGGCCCTACAATTAGCTGTCAAGACAATCCTCCACGGACAGGCCCACATGCTAATTTGATTCGGATAATTTCTCAATTGAGATTCTCTTCTCGGGTAACTGTGGACTGTGTCAGGTTAAAGCGAACGGGAGACAGGATGCAAGGAAATCCTTCCTCCAAATTCCCTGACCTGTGCCCTTAGGCCAAGGATTCTTCGGGCTGACAGTGAATCCCAAGTCCTCTTGACATTGTCAGGCTCACAGGAAGTAAGATCCACGGGCCTGGGGAGGTTGGAGTTGGCCTCGATCATAATAGTTCTTTTATTAGGTTTGTTTCTAAATACTGTTTTAAAATGGAAAGTCCTGATAGAAGTAGGCAGATACTTAAGTGTGTGAGTGAAGTATTGTGATAAGGAAACCCCCTAAGAGTCCACAAGCTTCCCTACAGTTAGGATAAAGAGAGCTGTTCTTAAACCAGAACTAACAAAATAGAGAAGAGAGCCTGCGTGTTAGAGGACGCCACAGTTAGCTCCTAGATTAGAACAGTTTTCTGTGAGGTCATCCTGTCTTTAGAGTGCAGTCAAGGACTGGAATGTGCTGGCTCAGGCTGGCCGTGGGTCCACGATCATGTGCCTAGAGGAAGGACACAAACTTCAGGAAAATCTGCCTAGGTGAGTATTTTGTGTCTCACCCAGTTCAAGTGTTAACTATTAAGGCTAACTTGTGGGGATTTGGAAAGCCTTATTCTGGTTTTCTCTGAGTAGCTGGTATTTATCTGTCCAGATCAATGTATTATTTCCCAGAGCTAAAGATATCAATCAGGTTTGTTCTTGTGTGGATAAACAATCCCTGAGGTTATTAGATTGTATTTATTTATTTATTTAGTTAGTTAGTTACTTTGTTTTTCGAGACAGTTTCTTCATGTGTCCCTCACTGTTCTGGAACTCGCTCTGTAGACCAGGTTGGCCTCAAATTCACAAAGATTCACCTGCCTCTGCCTCCTGAGTGCTGGAATTACAAGTATGCACCACTACTGCCTGGTGTAGACTGTCTTTGTTTTAACTGATGTTAAGAGCTCCACAATTTGGAGTGTATAAATTCTCAGCACCTTTGTTTTTAGTTTTTCTTAATGTGTGATAAAGATTGGCTGACAGGATAAGCATCTACCAACATCTGACCATAGATTAAAGCTAACTTTATCATGTACACCACATTCAAGTTTTATCTCCTATAAAGCTTTTTTGGTGACCTATTTAAGCTTTCTGGCTTTGCCCACACTGCTTTAAAAATATATTTTTTGCTATTGTGTGTGTGTGGTGTGTGCTGTGAATGCGCATGCCACAGTCTCCTAGAGGAGGTCAGAGGGCAACTGTTCAGAGTCAGCCCTCTCCTTCCACATTTGTGTGAGTTCCAGGGTTTAAACTGAGGTGGCCAGGTATGCCAAGTAAGCACCTTTAGCCCCTGCACGGAACCATGTTGCTGACCCACTTCTTCTTTTAAAAATTAATTTGTTTTGTGCATTTGTGTTTTGCCTGTGTGCATGCCTGTGTAAGGGTGTAGGATCCCCTGGAAATGGAGACAGACAGTTATGAGCGACCATGTGGGACTTGAACCTGGGTCTACTGGAAGAGCAGCCTCTGCCCTTAAGTGCTGAGCCAGTTTTTCAGCCCCCACCCTCTTTTTTGTTTGTTTGTTTTAGTTTGGTTTTTTTGTTTGGTTGTTTTTTTTGTTTGTTTGTTTGTTTTGAGACAGATTTCTCTGTGTAGTCCTGGCTGTCTTGGAATCATTCTTTAGCCCAGGCTTTGTGGCCTCGAACTTAAGAGATCGACCTGCGTCTGCCTCCTGAGTGCTGGGATTAAAGGCGTGCGCCATCACCACTGCCCAGCAACAGTTCCTTTCTGCTTTAACATTCTTCCTCCAAAACTACATCGTATGCTATAGCTTTAGATGCCTTTTTGTAAACTTGGTGGTTTCTTTTTGTCTTACAGAAATTAGAAAACATTTTTCTTTAAAAAAAAAAACTTCTTAGTTTTAAAGATGTTTTTTATTTTAAATTATTAATGTTAGCGTGCGCTTGAGTGCAGGTGCCATGGACTCTAGAAGAGGGTACGGGGTTCCCGGGAGCAAGAACTAGAGGCGGTCATTGTCAGAACGCTGCTCTAGAATGGAGTCATGGGGGGATTTTCTGAGTATTTGTGAGAAAACCCCAACAAAACAAATCTTGTGTCCTAGGTTTCTTCAGAACTCTGAATTGTTCTTCGAAGGTGTTTGTGTGCCCTTCCCAGGTATAGCAGATAGGAAAGAGTTGACTCCAGATTATTCATGACAGCTGGCTACTGTTATTGTTTATATGCCTCTATGGAAAAGTACAGTCTTGCCATGAGTGGTTTGTCTGCCTTTGTGATTGGACACTTCACTCCTGTGACTCCTCTTAGCCCTCAGAGTACCCATTGTCTGATGTTGTAAATAAAGTTGGCTATGGCATAAGACTTCAGTTGCTCTCCTTTTATGGGCTCCACTCTCCCAGGTGCCACTGCCTCCTGAGCGGTGACAGTTGTGAGGCTCCTTAATATCAGTGTTGGGAAACGAAATCAGGTTCTCTGTAAGACCAGTGTTCTTAATTGCTAAGCCATTGCTCCAGGTCTCACAACTTCACATTTTTAATGGAAACCTAGAAGCTCTATCTGATATGCCTCTGAAGCATGTTAATCATCCTAAGATACATGATTAATTAGCTTATGTATTCACTTATTTTTCCAGCTAACTTTAATTAACCAACATGTTAATGATTTAAGTCCTTGGCCAGGCAGTGGTGGTGCATGCCTTTAATCCCAGCACTCGGGAGGCAGAGGCAGGTAGATCTCTGTGAATTCGAGGCCAGCCTGGTCTACAGTGCAAATTCCAGGGCAGCTAGGGCTACACAGAGAAACCTTTTCTTAAAACAAACAAAGAAAACCAAAACTCAAAAATCAAAAAAAGATTTTGTCTTGTTATAACAGGCAGCTAGAAAGTGATTTTGTTTAAAAAGGACCAACTTCTCAGTTGCCCTCTAAGTCAGCAAGAAAGCAGTAGAAAACTTTTGCGTCTCCATCCAGTTTGGTACCCGTCCCTGTTCCTTTGCAAAGGTTGAAAGCACACCAACAGCCATTGTCTTAAAGCTGTGGCTGTCTTAGATTTTGGGAGCTGCAGAACATCCTTAAACCATTCCCACATGAGGCCCCACCTGAGGACAAGTTAATACCTAGGAAACAATAAGAATCTTTTTTTTAAGATTTATTTTTATTCTATGAATATTGGCTTCTTGCCCACGTATATGTGAGTGCACCACATGCATGTCTGGTATTCTTGGAAGCAGAGGACAATGAATTCCCCCTGGAACTGGAGGTTCTAGGAAGCAAACCCCAGTCCTCTGGAAGAGCAGCTCCCACTCACCAAGTCATCCATCACTCCAGCCCCACCAATACGAATCTTTGACGGCCTTAGTCTGCCATGATTACCAGAGTCAGAATGTTGAGTTTTAAAATTCTAGCTACATTATGAACTAGGAAATATTCTGACAAATTTAGCTTATTGATCTTATGAGCCTTTCTGTTTTTATATGTACAATATAAAAATGCAAGCACTGCAGACTATATGTGTGTGTGTGTGTGTGTGTGTGTGTGTGTGTATTCATATAGCCATACAAAAGGAGTTTTATTTCTTGAGCCAGCAATCGAAAGTGCAGTCCATCCTGGTGGGGAAATCAAGCAGCATCTGGTCACATCATCTACAGCCGGGAAGCTGAGAGGGCCGAGTGATTGCTAGTGCATATCAGGGATGTCCATGTTTGCGATTCCCTCCCTGGGGAGCAGTTCAGCTCATTAACTAAGATGATTGTTTTCACACCAGTTAATATAATCAAAATAATCTTTCACAGATCTTCTTAAAGGCTAGCTTTGGTTAAGATGACTGGGCTGTCTCATGGATAATTCTAAACTCTGTCAAGTGACAATTAGTATTAGCCATCCCCCTTTTGATTGTTTGTTTTTGTTTTTCAAGATAGGGTTTCCCAGTGTGTAGTCCTGGCTATCCTGGAACTTGCGCTGTAGACCAGGCTGACCTCGAACTCACAGAGATCTGCCTGCCTCTGCCTCCTGACTACTGGGATTAAGAGCATGCACCACTTTTGCCTGGCAACATCACACTTTTAGTAATTATGGAATTTCTTACATACCTTTGAGGGGTAAGAGCTGTTTCTAAGAATATGAGCTATTTTTCATTGTTCATTTGTATTCCCTAAAAATATTAACTTATTAGAAAATGAATAACCCTTAATCCTCTATAAGTTCTTGTATCGTTGTTGTGACAAAATTCTTGAGAAGGAAATGTAAGAAGCAGAGATTTATTTTGGATTTAGTTCAAGGTTGGGGTCTATCACGTTGGGAGAAGCTTGACAACAGGAGTTAGAGGCAGCTGCTCACGTTGTATCTGCAGTCAGAAAGCAGATGGCAGTAAATTCCAGTGCTTGGCAACGGCTGGCCTCTGAATTCACTTTCGCCCAGCCCAGTGAATGGTGCATCTCACAAACAGACTGAGCTGTCTTCTGCCTAAAATGGAATCAAAATAATCCCAGACATACTTAGCAAGAGTCCTGTCTCCTAGGTGAATTTTAGATCCTGTCAAGTTGAAAATTAGTATGTACCATCAGGATTTAAAAAAGAAAGTAAAATGGTTATTATGTTTTATTTTATGTATATGGTTGTTTTGCCCTAGTGTGCATTCGTGTGTGCGTGCATGTGGCATGTGTACCTAGTGCCTACAGAGACCAGAAGAGAGAATCAGATTACCTGGAAATGAAGTTGCACAGTTGTGTTACTGTGTGGGTGCTGGGAATCAAATCCAGGTCCCCTGGAAGAGTAGTCAGTAATCTTAATGGCTGAGCCATCTCTCTAGTCTTACAAGTCTTATTATTATTTAAGAATGCTCTATGAGGGGGCTGAAGAGATGGCTCAGCGGTTAAGAGCATTGCCTGTTCTTCCAAAGGTCCTGAGTTCAGTTCCCAGCAACCACATGGTGGCTCACAACCATCTGTAGTGAGGTCTGGTGCCCTCCTCTGGCCTGCAGGCACACACACAGAAAGAATATTGTATACATAATAAATAAATAAATCTTAGAAAAAGAATGCTCTATGAGAAAGCAGATACACACTTCTAAGTTTTGTTTATAGTGAATCATAGATGATATATTTGAGTTCCTAACAAGTTGTGAGAAGAGCAAGTACAGTGTTCTATTTCTCTGAAGAGATGCCATGACCATGGCAACTCTTAGAAAGAAAACATTTCATTGGATGTTTGCTTACAGTTTCAGAAGTTGCTTACATTTTCATCATGGCAGGGAGCATGGTGGCACACATGGAGTTGAAGCAGTAGCTGAGTGTTATAGACTGGAATGGCATGGGGGAGGAAGAGAGAGACAGAGGTGAAGAGAGAGAGGCAGAGGGAGAGGAGAGGAAAGAAGAGGAGAGGAGAGGGGAGGGGAGGGAAGAGGAGGGGAGGAGAGGAGAGGAGAGACTGGGTCTGACTTGGCAGGGGATTTTGAAGCCTCAAAGCCCACCTCTCAGTGACACACCTCCTCCAGCAAGGCCACACCTATGCTAACAAGTACTCTTCTCCGGATCATTCTAACCTTTCTCAAGCCACTCCCCAATGACCAAGCATTTGATTACATGAGTATGTGGGTACCAATCTTATTCAAAAGACTGAACCAGTTTCTCAGAGATTCATCATTCAGAAAATACACCGAGTCTAACCAGTTTCTCTGTGATAATCACATGAAAACATAGTATGGATTCTGAGAGAAAAATATAAAAGTGATATAAAAATCTGGTGTAGGAGTTCCTTCTGTTTATGTGTTGCTTTCATTGGATGAATAAAGAAAGTGCCTTGGCCTAGTTGATAGGAGAGAACTTAGGTAGGCGGAGTAGACAGAACTGAATGCTGGGAAGAAGGGCAGAGTGGCAGACACCATGGGTCTCCTGCCTGAGATGGATGCTGGTTAGAATCTTGTCGTTAAGGCCCAGTTATGTGGCAATACACAGATTAATGGAAATGGGTTAAATTAAGATATAAGGATTAGCCAATAAGAAGTTAGAGCTAAAGGGCCAGGCAATGTTTAAATGAATACAGTTTCTGTGTGATTATTTCGGGTGTTAGCTAGCCTGGACGAAAGGCAGGTCCTCACTCCTTGCAATAAACGTCACATACGGTTGGCACCAACTGTTCAAGAAAGCCACATCATTTTTTTTTTAATATTTATTTATTTATTATGTATACAATATTCTGTCTGTGTGTATGCCTGCAGGCCAGAAGAGGACACCAGACCCCATTACAGATGGTTGTGAGCCACCATGTGGTTGCTGGGAATTGAACTCAGGACCTTTGGAAGAGCAGGCAATGCTCTTAACCTCTGAGCCATCTCTCCAGCCCAAGCCACATCATTTTTATAGTTATATAAGAAAGAGCTGCTCTTAATCACAGGTCCCAGATACCAAGAGAAATGGAAATTTTTCCTTCAGCATCTGTAAGAATATGCAGTCTTGGGACAGCTCATATTGGATTTTCTTTGGGACATTAGATAGTCAGAATTTGTTAGAAAGTTTGTCACAATGACCCAGTGGATGAAGAGAGTTAGCACAGCTTATGGGGGCAAAGGTGGGCCTATTCTGCTGTTGCTTTACTCATCTTTCCAATCTACTGTCGGAATTACTATATTAGAGAATCTTAGTGTGTATGAACAGTAACCGTGTGGTGAGCAAGACATCTTGAACATGTATGAACATAGTATCACAATAACTTCTTATAAAGTCTAGACAGCTGGTACTGTGAAGTTAACCCTTGTGGAAATGTGTGTGTGTGCTTTTAGGAGACAGTGACCTTTGAGGATGTGGCTGTGCACTTCACCATGGAGGAGTGGGCTATGCTGGATCTATCCCAAAAGGAGCTCTACAAAGACGTGATGAAAGAAATATTGAGAAACATGGTCTCTATAGGTAAAGACATCCATTCTCATAATAGGTCAGTCAAACAAAGTGCTTCTATGTTCATCACTGCTGCATGAACTGAAATATGGTAAAGATTTGGGGATGCTTACTTGGCAGAGGAGACACCAAGATCAGGAAGCTGGTTTTCTTAGAGTAAGGCTCAACCATTTTCACTGACTCCTGCGACTTTCCCAAATGTAGAAAAGTTGACTGTGTAATTTGTGGTAGTGGGAGACTGTGTTCACATTCTGCCCCCAAAAAAGAAAAAAAAAAGGTGGCAGGGGTGAATATACGAGATGGGCTACTTTATACCATGAATTTAGTTGGAATCTACTAATGTTTTTCCTGTAGTATCATGATTTATAATAATTCATTTTGATCTGTATTTTAGGAAACATAAGGAAACACCAAAAGATTGAAAATTCTGGCGTAAAGCTAAGGTAATTCAGGTTCCTCAATGTTCAAGGTGTCATAGGATATTTTACAAAGAGGTAAAAGAGACAAATATGTCAAATTTCAATCTGCGTTGATCTCAGGAAATTGTCTCCGAAACTTCCAATATGTTTCAAGTCGTAAACAAGAACATCTTGGATACTCAAGCACTGAAAACAACTTGAGTATCACGATACATGCATACATACAATATCATACTTCACACGTACAAACTTTATACCATATACAACATGCAATATGAGAGATGAGTTTATCTGGCATCTTTGGTATGAGGTGCATATGAAACAAAATAAGATGTCACTTTTAGACTGAAACTAACCGTTGAGAGAACACATATAGACAGCTGTGGGGCCACACTTTTAATCTCAGCACATGGGAAGCAGTGGCAGGTGAATCTCTGATTTAGAGGTCAGCCTGGTCTACTAAGTGAGTTTCAGGACAGCCAGCACTTCAAAGTGAAATCTTATCAAAAAAAAAAATAATAAATAAAACAAACAGAAAGACAACTCAATATGGGTATTTGTCTTTTTTTTTTTTAAGATTTATTCATTATGTATACAGTATTCTCAGTACTTTGCCTGAAGGCCAGAAGGGGGCCCCAGATCTCATTACAGATGGTTGTGAGCCACCATGTGGTTGCTGGAAATTGAACTCAGAACCTTTGGAAGAGCAGGTGGTGCTCTTAACCACTGAGCCATCTCTCCAGCCCCGGGCATTTGTCTTAAGGTTTCTATTGATGTGAAGAGACACTCTGACCATGGCAACTTATAAAGAAAAACATGTATTTGGGTCTGGTTTCCAGGCTCAGAGGTTTAGTTCATTATTGTCATGGACTTGTAGCCAAGCATGGTGCTAGAGAAGGAGCTGAGAGTTCTACATCGGGACCCACAGGCCGCAGAAAAAAGGGCATGACACACTGGGTCTAGATGGAACATCTGAAACCTCAAAACCCATCGCCAGTGACACACTTCCTCCAACATGACCACATCCCCTAATAGTACCACTCCCTATGAGCTTATGGGAGCCATTTTTATTCAAACTACCATAGCATTCAATTAGTTCAAAATGCAACATCATTTTCATCATCAGTATTGGACATCAAATTGTGTGCAATATTGAATATTGAAATGGGTATTTAAATATGACATATACATTCAATGTTTGCCAAATGTGGATACAATATAACTTCTCATTGTGTTTATTATACCATTGCTGTTATTACAGCTATCCTCAAATCATGCTGCATAGCATTCCGTGAAAACATGTTCAGAATTCCTACAGTACACAGAACCAGTATTTCTACTTGTAAATCATTAATAATCAAACACTGAGTAATCTACTTTTTTATTTCTTACAGATGTCAACTGGTGGAGAAACTTCATGAGTGTAAGCAAGATCATGAGTGTGCAGAAATCGTCAGCTTCTCTACAGAGGGCACGGTGAACCATAAATTTTATCCAGGAGTACATATATGTAAAAGAAATGGGTTTGTAAATGTAGTCATTGGCTATTTAGCTCTAAGTGTGCAGCTAAAACCTAGGCCAGGGCAGAAAACAAATGAAGTTCAGGAACATGGAAAGGAGCTGAATAGTAATAAAGAATCAGAGGACACCTCCAGCTCTCCCCCAACTTTTCAGAAGCATAAAAGTGCTGACACGGAAGAGAAATCTAATAAAAATAAGCAGTCTAATGAAGACGTAAGAATCGGTCAGACTCATGAAAGAACCCCTGCTGAAGAAAAGCACCACAAATGTAAGCAGTGTGGGAAAACTTTTACTTCTCTCAGGTCCTTAAAGGGTCATGAACAACATTACCATGCAAAGAAATCCTTTGCATGTAAGCAGTGTGGGAAAGCCTTCCCTTTTCCCAGTTCCCTACAAGTCCATGAAAGAATCCACACTGGCGAGAGGCCCTACACGTGTAAGCAGTGTGGGAAAACCTTTGCTTATTCCAGTTCTCTTCTAAGACATGAAAAGACCCACACAGGCTCGAGTCCCCATCAGTGTCAACTGTGTGGGAAAACCTTTACTCGTTTCAATTCTCTTTTAAGGCATAAAATAATCCACACCGGTGAGAAGCCCTACGCGTGTAACCAGTGTGAGAAAAGCTTTTCTCGCTCTGCTTCCCTTCAAAGACATACGAGAATCCACACCGGAGAGAAACCCTATGTATGTAAGCAATGTGGGAAAGCCTTCATTACTTCTACTCATCTTCAAATACACGAACGAACTCACACTGGGGAAAAACCCTATGTATGTAAGGAATGTGGGGATGCCTTCATGCTTTGGAATCAGTTTCGAAAGCACAAAGTAACCCACAGTGGTGTGAATCCCCATGTTTGTAAGCAGTGTGGGAAAACGTTCACTCGTCTCAGTTCCCTACAAATCCATGCAAGAATTCACACTGGCGAGAAGCCCTATGTGTGCAAGCAGTGCACAAAAGCCTTCATGTCTCTGTATCAATTACGGAGGCATGAAGTCAGTCATACTGGTGTCAAACCCTATGTGTGCAAACAGTGCGGGAAGGGGTTCTTTTGTTCTACTACTTTTCGAAGTCATGAGAAGATACACAGCGGCGATAACCCACATGTGTGCTCACAGTGTGAGAAAGTCCTGAGTTCCGAGAGTGCTTTGCGGAAACATAAAATGATTCACACTGGGGAGAAACCTCGTGTGTGTAAGCAGTGTGGGAAAACCTTCACCCACTTAAGTTCTCTTCAGTACCACGCGTTGATGCACAGTGGTGAGAAACCCCATGAGTGTAAGAGGTGTGGGAAAGGCTTTAGGTCTCTTAGTCACCTTAAAAAGCATGAAAGAACACAACACTGAGGAGAGACCATCCTCATGTAAATGATATGGGAAATCCGTTCCTTAATATCTCTTATGAAGACAGTCATTCTCCGTGGTTTACATCCCTAGCTTTGAAAGCAATGCTTACACTTTTTGAATCTCTGTCATGTCTTTCCCGTGATGACAGAGATTCGACTGCAGAGGAACCTTGTGCACAGTTTCAGTGTAGAAAGTCTCCCCTTCTTCCCTGGTTCCTCCAAATATGTGTGAGTCAACCAGAGGGGAGCAGAGTGACGACTCAGCAGCTAAGAGTGCTGGCTGCTCTTCCAGAGGACCTAGGTTTGATTCCCAGCAGCCACATGGAAGCCTACAACCGTGTCTAATTTCAGTTACAAGGGATCCAGTGTCCTCTTCTGACTTCAGTGGCCTCTGCATGCTCGTGGTACACAGACATCCATGCAGGCAGATTACCTATACCCATAGTAATTTTTTAAAAATCCACACTGGAGAGAAACTCTTTGTATGTAGGTAATATTAGAAAGTCTCCCAGTGCTACTGTTCCTTTTACAGAAATGAAAGATCCTACCACGGAATAACCTTAAATACAGATTTTTTTTTTTAAAAAAATAGACTTATTTGTATTATTTCATGTGTGTGAATGCTCTGCCTGCCTGTGTGAATGTGTGTGGCGTGTGTGCTCTGCCTGCGCTGCCATGAAGAGTGAGTGCCCCAGACCCTCTGGAACTGGAGTTGCAGATGGCTATGAACAGTCACATAGGTGCCCTTTGTAAACATAGTGAGTGCTTTTAACCACTAAGCTAAAACTCTCTGACCTTCAGACAAGGTGGAAATAGGCTTACATGTTTCGGGCCTCCCCAGCTATGTTTATTTTTCTCTCAGTGTTTATTTTCTAGCATACTTTCTTGCATGTCTATGATGGTTGGTTTTAATGTCAACTTGCCACATAACTGAAACACCTGAGTGTGGACCCTCACTGGAAGAACTGTTCTAATTTCCTTGACTGATGTGGGAAGACTCACCAACCCCACTTGTGGGTGGCACCTGCTGGTCCAGATAAAAGGGGTATGGCAGAAGGAAACATTTTGCCTTTTGCTCACTTGTCTATCCATCTCGTCGCCTCGTTCTGTTGTCCTGTTGCTATTGATGTTTGCTTCACAGATATCAGATCTAGTGACTCCAAACTTTCATTGTGTATCGGGCCAGCCGACCTGTCGAACAGAACCTGAATAGGCGAGAGAGGAGTATGAAAGAAAGAAACAAAAGACAGAAGATAGAATCGGGAGGGTCTCAGTGAATACTACAGACGCTCTGAACTTATTTCTCATAACCCTTTTATAGCAAAAAGGGGATGGCAACAGACTTCCTTACCATGGTTCAAGAAACAAACAAGCCCCCTTACCACATTTAGGAATCTCGTCTTTGGCCAAACATCCTTTTTTTTTTTTTTTTTGCCTTCATCCTGTTAATTGGCCTTGAGGAGAAAGAACAAGCTTGAACTCTCTGACCTTAAGTCAAGATGGAATAGAGTCACTGTGATCTCCCACAATTGTTACTAGGGAAACAGGGTAGTTGAGGAAAATTCTAGGCTCATTGTGCCAGACTGGGACTGCTGAAGCCCATCCACCCACCCACTTACCCCCCACCTACCTACCCACAGACCCTCCATCCACTCACCCAACCACCAACACTGAGTGCTATGGCTCCAGCCTTAAGACCTAGGAATAACCACGTTATCAACTCCCTGGTCATTCTGCCTTTGTCACTACTTTGAAGCCGACTTAATTCCATTTCTCTAGAGAAGCCTGCTGGATACAGTGCCCTTTTAAGGTTGAACTATTTTAAGATTGCTTTTAGAATAGGAAATGATAACTTTTTCTTTTTACTCCTAAGCAAGATACATATATTTTACAGATCAGGCCATGTTTAGTAGTTTATTTAGTTTGTGTTGTATGAAACATGAAGGCCCCTGTCTCACAGAGATCCACCCACCTCTGTCTCCTGAATGGTGGGATTAAAGGCGTGGGCCATCCCCACCAGTCCAGTGGGTTGTTTTTTTAACAATGGGACATGAAGATAGACATCCGATAATCAAGGCTTTGCTCATCGATGGAAGGAAAGTACAATGAAGAGGACGAACCTTGGCTTGAGGATAGTGGATAAAGTTGAAAGTGATGGGTATCAGTGGGCCAGGCGTCTTCTTTTGGACCACCAACCAGCCCCCAAATTCTTGTTATTGGTTTTGAATGCTTTACCTAGTTTAGGCACGTTTCTGGCTAGCTCTTTTAATTTAACCGTTTTCTCTCTATTTACCATTTGCCTCAGGGCTTATTACCTTTCTTATTTCTGTATACCTTATTTTCACTGCCTCCTTATGTCTGTCTGTCTGGCTCTCCCTCATTTTCTCCTTCTTCCTTTCATTCTTCTCCCGAGGCTAGCTTTCTCCTCCTTATTCTCTCTTTCTGTTAACCCTGTCTATCCTTCCTTCTATTGGCTATTTAGCTCTTTCTTAAACCAAACAAGTGCCTTAGGCAAGGTGAAACAAATGCAACACATCTTTACATAATTCAACAAATGCAGCATAAACAAAAGTGACACACTTTACACAGGTAAACAAGTGTAGCCTAGTTAATATTCCACAGCACATCAGCATCTAGTAACGAGATGAGTGATTTGATGTGGGAATGACTCCAGAGGTAGGATGTTAGTGTAATGTATGTCTTAATCACTCTTCTATTGCTGTAAAGAGACACCATGACCAACGCAGTTCTTATAAAAAGAGCCCTTAATTGTTGGCTTGCTTACAGTTTCAGGGGTCACTCCATTGTCAACACGGCAGAGAGCCTGGTTGCATGCAGACAGGCGCGAAGCTGGAAGAGTAACTGAGGGTTTTATATCCTGATCCAAAGGCAGAGACAAAGAGAGAGAGAGAGAGAGACAGAGACAGAGACTCTGGGCTTGGCATGGGCTTTTGAAACCTGAAAGCCCACCCTTCCTCAAACAAGCCCAGGCCTCTTAATTCTTCGAATCCCTTCGAATAGTACCACTTTCTGGAGACTAAGCCTTCAAATATGTGAGCCTGTGGGGGTTTAATATACATGTATTAAACATAGGAAACCAAAAGTGAACTTTTCACATACGTATAGTTTTTTTGTTACCTGAAATATGCTCTGTTTTCACACCTACAACTGGCATTCCACCTTTGCAGACACGCTGGTGTCTCACAATTCTATTGAAACGTCACACTACCTGTATGTAGTACTGACTCCAGAGGTCAGTTTGTGTTTCTTAGCAAAAAGTGGGCCCAAGATATTAGCCAGGGCCATGGTGTTTTGTAAAGAACCTCAATTCTGGTTAAATTGGAACAATTTCTGTAACTATAGTAATCTGATTTCCAGTACTAAAGCAATTCACTTCTCTGGAGTATTGCTGTCCCTGCTCCATGGACTCCAGGATTAGATCCATCACTTAACATTCTTTAACTGACTACTCATTGGCTGTGTCTTGCCATGGGTAACTGCAGGCCTCTGTCTCAGTGAAATTCTTAGGAGTCCAGTGGTGTGGGGGTATTAGAGCCAAAAGCCATAAAGTTGTTGGTGAAATCACAATGCCAGTGATGAGAGACCTCTTTATACGTTGTCAGTGAGTGAGCCCGAAGGCCACAAGATTTCTCCTTTATCTGTCTTTTCCTTAACTTGTGTTTATGTTCTGTTGGAATTTATAAGGCATTTGTGGTCTCTCTCTCTCTCTCTCTCTCTCTGTGTGTGTGTGTGTGTGTGAAATCATTACTTTGATTTCATTCTCTAAGATTTCATCTGATTTACTTGATTTGGAGACCTTTACAATGGGATTAGTATTTTTGGTGGAATTGTGTTATGTTAAGATATTTTTTTTATTTTGAGTTAAATCATTGGTTGTGTGTGTGTGTGTGTGTATGTGTGTTTATGTGTGTGTTTAATAATCACATTGCTTTTTTTCAAATAGAACTCTATGCAATTTTCAGGATATAGCAGGGCTGAAGTTTTGTTTGACTCTGCTCTATAACGTTTTGGTCACCAGGCTAAATGGAAAAGTTTCTGCAAAAATACTCACTATCCATGGGTAGGCCCCATTTAAAATAAAAGAATATCTAGTAAAAAAAAAAAAAAGACCAAATTTATCATCCTTCAAATGCCAATCATTCTAGGATAAGGAGGAATATTGTGACTTGTTTTTGCCCAAGTGTATCAGTCGTTACATTAGGAATGAGTAGAAAGGAAAATAAATATAAATAAAGGTGGCGATTATTCCTTTGTTGATGACAAACAGTAGACAAGGAAAAGGTAGACACAAGGAGACAGTAGGGACATGAGAGTGAAGAGGAGGTAACTTTGTAGAGGGATAAGTAAAGAAATATAATCGGATAACCTAGCGCAGACCCAGGCGTTAGAAGACTGAGACCAGAAATCGTGAAAACCAGGCCAGCCTGTGTTCTTTGGGCAAGTCTCTGGAAAGGAAAATAATACGGATAGAATAGAGACCAGGAGTAGAGGGGAAAGAGGAAAAAGAGAAGACCGAGCAGGACAAAACTGGCCTGCTAATTTGACAGTAGATATTAAATAAGACTCTTATAAATGCGAAGGCGAGAGGGCGGGATGGGTTCTGAAGTATAAAAGTAGGGAGCTGGAGAACTGTCTCTATGGTAGTTTAGAGCGCAGTACTGTTTTTGCAAAGAATCCAAATTCTGTCGGCTTGTAACTCCATCTCCGGGGATACAGTGCCCTCTTCTGGCCTCTATGGGCACCTCATACGTGTGGCAGGTACACAGACAAGCAATATATATAATTAAATTCTTAAAAACTAAAGATGTCATTTAGTCAGCTTGCTGATTGCAGCCTCAAGTCTCTCAGCTTTCCTTTCTCTGCTCCCGTCTTTCTAAAAGGTCACTTAAAATACCTCTGTCTGCCGGCTCTCCGGACCTTGCTCTCAGCCTGAACGCTTCAGCTGTTGCACGCAGAATCTCGTGCCTGCTCATTGCTTGTCCCTAACCTGCTACAAAGAGCACCACCAGAGCAGCCTTTCAAATTTAATCTTCTCCTCTCACCAAGCCTTCCTTTCTAACTTCTACTCGTTCTTTGTGAGCTTAGTTCCCTGCAGTCAGGCTGGTGGTTCCTGGGAGCAGGAATGATTGTCCTGGAAGTCACCTGTGGTATTTTCCAGGTTTATGTGGTTAGTGTCGTGCAACTTCGTTGGGACCTGTCTAACCCTTACAATTCCTGAAGAATCCCTGATACGTTTCTAATGACTCTGTGTCGCTCCATTCCCGAAATGTTTGGCTATAGAAATGACTATGTGAGGTGGGTGGGTGCAAGAGAGACTTTCAAAGGGGTAAGCAGAACGTGTAGACTGCCAGGCACTGGAGACTAACATCGACCTCAAAAGGAAAGGGAACGCTAGAGGCTGAGCCAAATAGGAATAACTCACATCGGATTTATTCTTTGTTATGGCATTTTTCACACATGCAAATAGAATTTAGCTGATATCTTTGCCTTGTTAAAGAATCGGCTTCTTCCTATTTTTAATTCCATGTAAAATACAGCGTTTCACCCCTTTCACATGTAAAGCTAGAAGGAGAGTTTGGGAATCTCACAGCCGAATGGTACTCCAGGAAAGCTTACGCTGGGATTTGAGATTTGGCGCCACAGTACACGCTAGAGGATGTTTTCTCTGTCATTTAAGCATTAGGAGACAGGCATGTGACTCACTGGCCAATAAGAAAAGTTGCTTGGCTGCATAAACCATCCAATGAAGCTTTCAGATGTTGGGAGAGGGCGGGTACAGCAACGGGGATGCCACTTCCCGTCCAGCCATTTTAGGCGTTTGTGTCTTCTCTGGAGAGAGACCCGCAGGTTCTGCCCCCAGTGTCTGCGTCTCATCCCCGGAGTACAGGAGCCGCTGGACAACACGAGGACACCCCAGTGACCGAAAATGGTGCGTGTGGCCGGGCGTCCCGAGTGTGGGGAGGAGGTTGTTGCAAGCGAAGGCAACAGTGGGGACGCGGCCTCCCCGGGCAGCTGAGTCTGCGTCTGCGACTCATCGGGCTCCGCTGGGCCGCGCTGCCCGGGTCCCGCTGGGTGGAGCTGGGTCAGCAGACAGAGTCGCGGTCCTGTCCCTCGCTGAGCGCTCGGTGCTGCAGCCTCTGTAGGCATCTGAACACCCACAGCCTCGCGACTCCGCAGCCTGGGCGGTGGCAGCAGTGTCGCGGTGACACTCGGGACTCTGGGGTTCGTGCGTGTGAGTGTGTGTGTTGGGGGGGGCAGGGTGTGGTGACCTTGGATCCTGAGGGACAAGTTGATGTGTTTCCAGTGCCAGAATTTATTGGATGAAAAAAATAATTTCACAAATTATGTCTGTTTCGTTGTTAACAATTAGCCGAGTATGCCCGATTTTGCTTGGTAACCAGCCATTGGCAATCACGGGTTCTTATATAACAGTCTAATTACTGACATTAACTGGCAGATAACATGAACATTTCACATAAAAATACACAAATGTGCAGGTCACAGAATGGCTAGGAATTGGAGTGGTGGAGTTGAGAGTCTGTTCTGAAGTAGGAGGCTTTGGAGCAGAGACAGATGCAAAGAAAAGTCTATAGGGGATCAAAGGTGATGTCCTAGCAGCGCCGGCACAGATGTCAAATGTATATGCAGTGGGCATGAGTAAGTCAATTTAAGTTGATTGAGTGACCTGGACAGGAGGAACCGCACTGGAATTGGAGTCCAAGGACGGTAAGGCTCCTGACGGTTGCCTGCCGTACTTTGTCTTGGGATGTAACTTTTGTGGTCCCGGGT